AGTGGGCTCATAGGGGGGTGAATACACATACTATACAGAGATGCTGTATGAGAAACCAATGTGATTTTGGAACATTGAACAATGTAAATCTATTCTAGTAGACCTAAACAATGGAATTATGATCAGTAGAAATGGCCATGACATGGGACCTTAAGTAAATCAATTAAATTAATCGTTTTAACTAATAAACCTTGTGTACAGTATGCACCACATTACACTGTGCATGTAAGCATGACGGATGTAGCCTTTTCACAACACACATTTTGATTTGTATTTGCAGGAAAATCACAGGTGTAACAAATTGCATTAATGTCGGTTCTGTTTCATAAAGCCATGCTGGTGAGCAAGCAATATGTTTTTTATGAAAAAGGCCTCTGAAACAACTGCTATAGAGAACTGTGTGTTTGGGGCATTATCTCTTTACAGTGGAGTTAATGCGATAAGCAAAATAGTAATGTCAAGGCTTTCTATATTCAGCGACAAATTACATTATCAAGTGAGTACATATCGTTGGCTTTAAAATAGATAATGCTAAAGTTTTCTTCATTTGGAAAACCACAAAGTCTGTTTCTCTCAAAGTTGTTGATTCTTCATGAAAAAGACACACTTGGTTGTGGGAGAGAAATCAATCTTTACTATGAGAATCTTAAGTCAATCTTTCCTAGCAGACATGTTGCCATAACGCGTTTATGTCCTTTTTCTCAGGTCTCTCTCTGGACATGACCGCCGTCTGAACCGACGTCCGAGGAGTAATAGCGGGAGCATCCTTTAGGTCAGCCATTCATCTCCATGCACCTCTGAGGAGGAACCACTGACCCTCACTACGAGTTTGGCCCCTTGAGTTTCTCTTCTCTTTTAACCATGGGGGGAGCCGTGAGCGCGGGCGAGGACAATGACGACCTTATTGATAATCTGAAGGAGGCCCAGTACATTCGCACAGATAAAGTTGAACAGGCTTTTCGCGCCATAGACCGCGGTGACTACTATCTGGACGGCTACAGGGACAATGCCTACAAAGACTTGGCGTGGAAGCATGGCAACATCCACCTGTCCGCTCCCTGTATATACTCCGAGGTGATGGAGGCCCTCAAACTGCAGCCGGGACTTTCTTTCCTCAATCTGGGCAGTGGGACTGGCTACCTGAGCACAATGGTTGGCCTCATCATAGGTGAGCATTATGTACCCAGCTGTGTTTTCCCATGAGTGGGGAGGGCTCAGATGTCCTGTAGAATCTAGGTTAAACAAATATTTCAAAAAGGTACACTGTGTGCCTGCAGTTCAGCGTAAGTGATTATAGGACTGCAAAGACTTTTCTGTATTTATCCACAGATTTCTTTCCTGATTTAGTCTAGACTCGATTTACTTTATGGATTCCATTGTTGTCACAGCAGCATAGGGCATTGCACATCAATTAAAAAGATTATAATAAATATTTTACGATTACGTTGTTTTCGTAATCGTCGCAAGCCAAAATCGAGATTAAAATACGATTTAATTGCACAGCCCTACACTATGGTAGAGATTTGGATCGTAGTTTGTATTGCTGTGTTTAAAAGTACTTCTTAAAAATTTTTGTTCTTAAGTTTCATAACTTTCTTGGAAAAAAGTAATTTAGCATGAAAAAAAGGATAAAAAAATCACAGTGGACAAAAAACAAAATAACCAATTATTTGACTTATTGGTCTCCCTAATTGTTTGGTCTGTAAATGTGGGGGGAAAGCAGCAAAATATGCACATTAGAATAAAATCAGCAAATTGGACCTTTTTGTTAGAAACGAATTAAAAGATGATGTGATTATCAAACCAGGCACATTAATTTCTTCAATCACATTGAAGAACATTAATTTCTTCAATCACATTGAAGAACATTAATTTCTTCAGTCAGTAAAGAAAATGTAATTGTTTCAGCTCTACGTGAAATCACAATGGGTAGTAGGTAATGCGGGGTTTGTTATGATTGTTTTAAAAGAAAATATGTTTCCTGTTGTGTTTTCTTCCAAGGGCCATTTGGTGTGAACCATGGAGTTGAGCTCCATACAGACGTGGTTGAATATGCCAGAGAGAAACTGGAGGATTTCATAAAAAATAGTGACAGCTTTGATAAGTAAGTACATGCAAACTGAAACCACAGTGACAACAGTAAGAGATGTAATTAAGTTTATTTTCTTCTGGTCTACAAGTCTTGCAAATTAACTACATTTCATCTCTCTAATTCTACTCATCTAAGCTTCATAATTCTACCACAGATCACTAATGTGATGATGTGCTTGATAGATATAAAAGAAAACCTTTGTTTCCATTGTTGTTTTATATAATGTTTCCACTTAACTTGTTGTTTTTCCAAAGGTTTGAGTTCTGTGAACCCGTCTTTGTGGTGGGGAATTGCCTTGAAATCTCAGCAGATAGTCACCAATACGATCGCATCTACTGTGGTGCAGGAGTGCAGAAAGACCATGAAAATTACATGAAAGTACTGCTCAAAATTGGAGGCATTCTGGTGATGCCTATAGAGGATCAGGTAAGTGCTACAAGCCATCAGAATGATACAGAACCAACACATTATGATTGCTAATCAAAATGCTAACACATGAAGGAAAACACAGTAAAATAGCTTTGACCTACAAGACTGCTTATGCAACTTTCACATGAATTATTGAACCACTCCTGCCCCTGGATGTGAGCGGCCGGGCAAGGAGCACACACACAGGGATGTATGAATACATGTATTATTTAAAATGGTCGAGGTTTGACTGTGGACAGACTGGGGCATGCACTGTAAGAGAGCATTCAGAATTATTTGGGAAGTTGGTGGAGAAAATGGTTTTCAAGTCCTTCATTTCTAGTAAGGAGGGTAAAGATCATGACAGATTCATGGTTTAAGATTTTTGGCAATTTAAAAGGAATCTGATGTGACCCGTGATGTGGATATTTGGATTATGTTGTCATTTTAGGCGTCAGTGCTCTTTAAAGTGAGTTCAAAGAGTGCAATATACTTGCTCCAGATCAGATTCCGATCATTTGATTTTGACAATCTGCCGATACCGATTTTTCCCGATCCGATCTTTATGTACACGCGGGACTCCCTACTATTTCTCGAGAACCTTCTGGCGTATGTACGACGTCCACAATTATACCCCAACGTCAAAAAAATTTTAATTGAAGTAAGGTGCTCAGAACGAAACCAAATGCCCTCGGTTATGAACATAACAGTTTAACCCAGAAGTATCTTGTATCACAGAAGGCTGGTCTAATATAGACTCGTAGTGCTTCAATATCGTGTTAGAGTTTTAGACTTGGAATATGGGAATAAAAAATTGATGACGTAGTGACATCTCCCACCCGCTATGCAAAGAAAACCATAAAGCTTCTCGTAATCCAATGTAAATATCAGACTGTCTCTGAAAAACACTCAAAAAACCAGAGACCTAGTCGTTGAAATTATAATCTGTGTACGTTATTAATAGTCTGTTTATAATATGACGTTCTCTAATATACAATTGATACCTTCCTCAATACATCCATATATAAAGTACTATAAATATTTCTCTACACATATGGGAGCGAAGCCATTTGCAACCGAACGAGTATTAGTCACTTTATACCACAATATTATAATTTACTATATTATTACTTACGAATTGTAACGACGAGTATAGTCTTTTCACCTTTTATATTATTTACGAATTGTAAAATATTTTTACTTTTCGATGTTGCCATAAAATTCTATAAACTCTTTTCCACAGACTAACAATACTTTTTTGAATATCTTTGATTACATTGATACATAATAATACCTTACATAACAGTCTTAAGACTGGATAGAAAATCGGTTTAACCTGACTAATATTAAAATGTTCTACAGACGCCCACAAAGCTTCAACCCTATAACCACTCTAAGAACGTTGACTACTGGTATTTAGACCCCCGAGTTCCGGTATTGGTTCGTTAATGGTAAAACATCAGGTGACCAATAGTTTAGATGTTTAACATCCGGTACCTGACGAAGTACAATACCTTTATTCCCCCACAACATTACAAGAGTTCTCCTTGTGGTCCAGGTAATTATCGACTTCTACGGAAGTTCCCACTTACATATCAAGTAACAAGGTAAGATATCGGGAGAGAATATTACGTCAAGTAAGTAGAGAGATAACGGTTCAATCAGCAAAAGAAAAGTTATTGTCGATTATTTTACGGGTACAATTATGAAAGATGATTCCCGTTCAAGGTAGGAAAGTCCGGAAACACTCTCGGTGGATGGTCGTATTAGAGATTTCATACCTTCACGCAAAATTCTACTGTAAAGATAAAGTACGTGTAGTATATATAATAGGTTGGTTATACCTCCATGTCTACTTATTCGAAAGATGAATTGCGACGAAAGAGCATGGCTCGGTACAAGAAACTTCTATATAAGTTTAAGTGTAACACTTCAAAACCATTAAAAAAGTTTTTCGGATAAAAAGGGTCATGACCTCGAAAGTTATTAAACAGGTAAGAAACTCTAAATTTAAAAAAAACATTCCCCGGTTCTTGCGGATGAACCACGACTCACTTTCTGGTGTTCTTTCTCCTTCTGGTTTTATGCACAAAAACTTTTTATAAGCGTAATCACGGTGTAAAACTATAACCGTTATTCATTGAAAAGTTACGACAAATCTAAGAACCGTTCCTAGAGACTAGATTTTTAATACGCATTAGTAAAGGGACGTAAGACTAAGTTTTCACACACTGTCCGGAACAAAGTTAAGAATGATTTTTCGAAAGGTGGAAGAATTTGTGTGTCATAATCTATATAAATCTCTACAGGGGCTAGGCTAGTGGCACTGTAAAATTGTAAAAAAAATTATTTGATAAAAAAAAATAAATAATAAATTACAATGTTTTGTTTTTACTGGTACAAGTGCCAGAATTTCCAGTAGGACTCCAGAATTCAAAACCAAATTTTACTGTTGTTGTAGTACATACACAACCAAGAAAACCCGCACAAAAGTATCTGGACCAACAAATATAAGAGAGTTTTAGACCGTTGTCTCACCGTCCCGCGTCACAGATTATCATCGTCATTCGATTGCTCTCCGATGCAAGTCGACCACTGAGCCCTCATCCTGTTCTCTTTTTACAGTCCTCAAACCTTTCATAATATTTTAACTTTCACTTCCCGTCACATTGTCGGTCTACGTTCCGCCATCCAAGGCGCACCAACCTTTCTTGTCTCGATGCAAGTTATGCTGGTTAAGATTATGCGGTGGACTCCTTTGTTTGTGGTTGTTGTTGTACTCCTCATGTGTCGCCGGTGAAGTCCATTGCCGTGACTTTGGTGTGTCTGTGAAAGTCCTTTCTCTTTGACGGGGTCTTGTCACTTTTCCGTTTTTTTTGTTGTCGGTTCTATCGACTTAAGTAGCGCAACTACTTCGTCGGCAATCGAGCCAATTGAAAAAAAAGAGAATTNGAGTGAGTGTGTGTGCTCAGGCTGAGTTCCGCGGTGTCTCGCTGTCTCGCCAGTGTGAGCTGGATTACTGGTGTCGTTTCCTGGTTGCTGCGTGGGGTCTGCGAGACAGCGAGACACCGCGGAACTCAGCCTGAGCACACACACTCACTCACTCACAGCCTGGCTGCAATCTGCGGAGTCGTTGCTGAGAAAATATAAGGCTGAGTGAGTGTGTGTGTGTGAGGAGCTGACCAATCCGGAGCCGTTACGTCACTATGACCAGGAAGAAAAAAATGGAAGAAGAGAAATCTCCAACGAGGCGTTCTGGGGCAGCATAGACAGGTCTTTTCTGTGTTAGAGTTGTACTTGCTACAGGGTGTACTTTGAGGGTTTGTGACTGCAGACCGTTTACATGCATAGAAAGCTACATAACACACAAGGGGACGGGTAATAACCGGAAAAGCATGACATGGGACCTTTAAATGCCAAGAATTCTATGCTTGACTTAACATGGTCACTTAAAGGCTGATCTGAAAGTTACTTATATTGTGAGTACTGTGCTACTGGCTTGTCTGTGTAGTACTATTAAATACCACGTCGTAGCAATAAAGAGGAAAGCCCTACAACAGGGCGGTAATTAAACATTTTATATATGTTTTGTTGACTGAAATACCCTACACTGGCTCAGAGTAAAAGCTGGAGATTCAGCCGAGGGAGACAAGTCTTGAATTCCCTCTCTGCCTCCTCAGCATCTCCACATCTGACTCAGCTAATAAAGATTAAATTCAGAGGTGACTTTGTAGCGCGAGGCCTCGTAAGGTCATTTTCTCTCGGCTCTTTCTCACAGGCAAAAATAATCATTGATTCGCTCACCATCACTGATTGTGTGGCAATGTATTTTTTTTAATTCTAGTTTTCCCCTCTACCCTCTCCGTAATGCATAGTCCTTTGAGTCGAAATAATATCCGGAAAATTATATAGGCGAAGTATTTGACAAGCAAATTGCTTTCAGGCACTGTACAAGACTCTCGAAACAGAAGTCATCCATCACCCACTCCTTTTAAGACAAATAAGAAAGGATCAGCCACTGTAGGCAACAACGTTTGTTCTATAGTGAAGCTACTTCACCACTGAAAGAAAAATCTACTGGTAAACACTCACTGAAAGTCCTGAGTTGATCCCTGGTGTGTATGGAAAGTGCATTGACACCATGTCGGGTTATCACTGGCTGCCGTGACCCGGCTTGGGACAACTTTCTGAACCGGCAGGATGACGAAACACGTAACAGATCCTCCGTCAACACGAGATCAACTCTAGAGCCGTAACCAAACACCAGAGGCCTGTCTAGGCAGCACAGTGGCATGTACACACTGCTGATCAACAGGCAGGGAAACTGATAATCCTCATGGTTACCAACCCCTGAAGTGTAAAGCCAGACGTTTTAGCAGCTCTGGCAACAAAGAAGGTGACATCCATGCCTCTGTGGCAAAACGCCAGAACAATATTATTATTTTTTGACAAAAATAATCACACATTCGGGCCACCGGATAGCTAGCTAGAGCTGGCAGCCCATATACAATGACCACTGCAAGGCGGTTCGAATCCCTAGCCGGCCAAACATTGCAGGCAATTTCCTCCCCTCTGTCTCCCTCTTTCACTCTGGCCCAAAAAATATTTAAAGAAAAATACACATTCATCAACAAATCTTGACTTAAACCTGCAGTCAGAAATGTCACATTAGCATTTGTAATGGACTGACAGCTAATAAGTAATGATTTGTGCTTAAAGCTAGAAAAGACATAACAAATTCATAATTTTGATGAATGGTTACCAAATGTTTTTACAATAACTTGTCATATACAAATCCTGCCTTTTTAAATGTACATTTCTGGATGTCAGTGGGTGAATGATTTGTATTATATTCAATGCATAAAAAATGCCAGCATGTTATGTTCACATTAAAGGATATACCATATCAGATAAAATACTTGAACATTTGCAATTAATGAGATCTGGCTCTATGGAAAATACATACTGGAACCCTTTTCTCTGCAATGTCAAATGTATTATTAATACAACATGTGAGAAAATGTGCTCTACAAAATGCAAATTACATCGAAGCGCTCATTTGTTTCGCTGCAAAGGTACCTGAGTTGAATGATGTTTTTGAA